TGCTCTTCCGCGGCGCCGCCCACCCTCCCTCCGGCTGACATTATGAATGTAAGGCGTATAGTAATCACAGATAACACGGCAGGGTCCGTTACAGTTTGTTTTCATCTGATTTCAAGTCTTGGCTTTCAGAATATTAAACTTGTTTCGGCAAATTCAGATGATAAATACAGCTTTGAAGCTCGTAACGGCATAATTACAAGCGGAGAACGGAGTAACTTGACGTCACAGCAGGCATAACAACAGCCGGTGTTTCTCGTGAGTGTTTTCCCCGGGAAACAAAACACAATACACACAAACGCAAAAATACACACACCACACACACACACACACACACACACACACACACACACACACACACACACACACACACACACACACACACACACACACACACACACACACACACACACACACACACACACACACACACACACACACACACACACACACACACACACACACACACACACACACACACACCACACACACACACACACACACACACACACACTTCCCCCAGACCAGTAATCCAAACAAAAATATTTTCCCTCCGGACTATTTTGATCATTTGCTAATAACCAATCAGATCGATGGATTCCAGAGAAGAGGAAACTTTGAAGGCCTTTTTCTCAAAATGATGACTTGTGACAGTCATTATATAATGTGACATATTTTGCTTAATATTTGGAGTACAACAACAATCCTGATATCATTGGAAAGCTCGGAATATCCTCTTTCCAACCGCGTATACAACTGAAAATGTGTCTTCGGGTCAATGCGACTGATTTCAATAGAGCAGGTCACATTTATGTTTTTATATTTGCTTCTGAAGCTCGACTAGTTTCTCCTAATGTTAGTGTTTTGGGTCGTTGTGGCGTGTTTGCACCTGTCGGCCACCGTACTCTAATGCTGTAGGGAAGCAGTGATTTCAAGTAAATGTAAATAACAGCTGCCACCCGAGTGGTTTCCATACCTGGAAGCCCTTCATTAGTATTCAGCTGAACAGATTTCCCTCTCCTGCTTCTCTCTTATTTTGGGTTAAGATATTTCTCCTGTTTCTTAATGAAGCTTGTCACAACAGCAGAGATATTCTCATGGGATAAGAGCTCAGCAAAACGTATCAAAGCACCACGCCCTGCACCCCCCCTCCATCGATTAATGATGTCTGACAAAAAGAGGAATTTAAGGACATAACATTGGGCTTTTTGACGTTATGAGGGACATTCTTCCCACAGGTAATCGATCGATTGAGGAAACAACGAGCAGATTCAATAAACAAAGTAAGTGTATATTCATATCGCAAGTTCATACATTCAACCCAGAAAACTCATTCTGGGTTTCAAACTCTAGCAAGTAAAGGCTAGTCCTGCTTCTCTGTTGTTTTGGCTTAGGATGTGTCTCCAGCTTCTCCCAGTGACTGAATGAGGACTTGTCACAGCAGCAGAGATATTCTCACGGGATAAGAGCTCAGCAAACTTATCAAAGCACCGCGCCCAGCATGCTTCGAACACAATGCTCCCCTAATTTCTCCTGAATGGAAGCCTCTGCAGACCTGGAGTAATCTCCCATTTGTTTCCACGCAGTAACTGTAGTTGCTCTGTTCCTGCACCCCCCCCCCCCCCCCGTGCCAATTGCATAATCACGTCCAGAACTCATCAGCAAGATGGCAGAAGAAGTGCTCCATTAAGCTGCATCGTGTTCCATCTGTTGTGTAAAAGAGAGATAACAGTATTTACCGCTTTTTGGAGACGGCTTCGAACACATTTTGTGCAGCGCAGAGTTCTGCCTACTTCATCAAATGTCACGGATTAATCCTGCCGCTCGCGATGCTGTCCAACGTTCCCCCACTCGAAATATCACACGGCAACTTTTTTTATATCTCTCGAGGTATTTGGATGTAAAGCACAGAGGGAACATTTACTCTTAGGCTCTTATTTGGCTTGTCCCGCCTTATATTCTGGGTATTCCATCATTTTTATTAGATTTGTGTTCATTCTCTGCTGCTCAACCTGCAGTGTGGGAGAAAGACTTCTAGAGAGTCTCTGTGAAGGAAGTGGTTCAACTCGCAGCTCCAAATCCTTCTATCTTCCTATCAGTGAGGGGAACAACTCAGATATGAGCTGATAATAAAGTGCTGAGTGAAACACAGCCTTATCTTCCTCATGGACGGCTTTGTATTTACCTTAATGTACATAAAGGAGCTCACTGCAAAATGCATTAACATATATGAGATGCTGATATTGGCGACACCATTACATCCATTCCTCTAACACACACTGAATAGAAGACAGATGGTTTTGTATGCATTTTACACATGATGTGAAATGACGGTTGGATGTAACGCATTTCATTCTCTGTAGAATATGTTGGACACTTATTGTATGAAGGACACAGCAAGAGTATCACCCTTTGTGTTGCTAGGAGCTGCAAATCATTTTAAAAAAGCCAATCATTTCACAAAACAACAACGTAATGTAATTAAATATAGCAGAAATGAATTTCTTGAAAACTCAATATCTGTGGGCTTTGGACAGTAAGTCAGAGGAAAAGAGAAATGTTAAGACATCACATTTGGCTTTTGGATGTTACATTTTTACATAATTTCTCTACCAGACTTCACAGTTTATCGATTAATTGAGGAGATAACGAGCAGATTGATTAAATAAAGTAAGGGTGAATCCATACTGCAAGTTCATCACGGTGACATTAAATCCAGAAAAGTCTGCTTGGGTTTTAAAAACTAAACTCCAGCAAGTAAAGACATTAAAATAGGCAATTTAGGGACATGACATTGGGCTTTTTCTAGACATTTTTCTTCCTTCTTCTGACTAGACTTCACAGGTAATTGATTCATTAAGGAAACAATGAGCAAATTAAATGAACAAAGTGAGTGTATATTCATATTGCAAGTTCAGAAGGTGTCATTAAATCCAGATAAGTCTTCCTGAGTCTTAAAACTAAACCCCAGCAAGTAAATACATTCAAATAAGGAATAACTTCTACTTTTCGCTATTTTCAAAATATGTTATACTCAATATCTCCAGCCTTTGGACATACATCTGATATAAAGAGAAATGTAAGGACATGAAATTGGGCTTTTGGACATTATGAGGGACATTTTGTCGACAGGTAATCGATTGATTGCAGAAACAACGAGCAGATTAAATAAACGAAGTAAGTATCGCAAGTTCATAGGATGACATTCAACCCAGAAGAATCATTCTGGGGTTTAAACTCTAGCAAGTAAAGACATTAAATTCAATCATGTCTCAGTTTCCTATTGAGCCCTTCTCAGGACTCCTCGAGGAGGTCACTTTTGGACTTTTGGAGGCATCAGGTCGAAGGGACTCTGCTGTCTGAATATAAATAAAAACAGCTTGAGGCTGCGTCTGGAGGTTCAATAGCATCAGTTTCAGTAGAATAGAATTAGTTTCAGTGCAGCAGGACTGTTCACAGCCCGCTGCTCCTTGTCTGTTGCCCTTAAAGCCGACAGCAGCCTGCTCCGCTCCACACAAAGCCCATGAGTGGCTTTCCAAAGATGCATTTGGAGGCTGTAACAGTGCACTTCCCACACGAGGAGCTCCACAAGAAGAAGAGGAGCAACAAAAAGCTACAAAGCAGAAGGCGTTGCAATGGATTCATGAAAAGCTTCTGCGAGTGCATCCATTTCAGTCAAAGCTGGGAACACGTGTACGTTTGAATGAGAGTGTGATCATTCCTGCACAGCTTACACATATATTGACTCTGCATGGAGGAGACTGCTGCAGTTTGCAAAGATCTGCCTGCATCCTATAGCTATTATTTGATGTTATGCCATGTGAAACAGAAGCCTTCTCTGATCAAATATTCACTTTGCCATCAGTTCAGAGCTGCAAGGGTTAGTCCATTGCACACATTAGTTGTTTCACAGGACAGAATAGCCAATTTTATTGTAATTTTTTTTTGTTAAACATCATATTAAAGTGGATATCTTTGGGTAGCAGAATGAGAAATAAAGAGACATGACATTAGACTTGAAACTTGAGAAACTATTTCCCTATTTCTGACGTTTAAAACATCAAACATTGATCAAATAATGGTGTTAATATTTGTTCATTTCTTAGTTATATATGATATCAAAGTAACTCTGTGGGTGGCAGAATGAGACATTTAGACTTTGAGGAACAGGAGAAGAAATGTGTCACTGTTTCTGACGTTTTAAACATCAAACGATTAATCAAATAGTCTGGTTTATAATTGGTTCATTTTTTGGGAAACATTTCATATTAAAGTGACTATCTTTGGGAGACAAAATGAGAAATGTAGAGACATCATATTGGACTTTGAGAAACTGGATAGAGACATTTTAAAGACCAAAGAAATGTAGAGACATTATGTTGGAGTTTAGGAAACTGGATGAAGATGTATTCACTATTTCTGACGTTTTATAGACCAAAAGGTCTATAAAGTCCTCATTCAAAAGATGAATTGAATAGTCTGGTTAATAATCTGGTTATTTGTAATCATATTGAAGTGACTATCTTTGTGTTTAAAACTGGCAAAATGACAAATGTAGAGACATCAAGTTGGATAGAGACATTTTAAAGATGAATCGGAGAGTCTGGTTAACAATCGGCAGGTAGTAAAGATTCATATTAGTTGATGTTTTCAGTCTTGTGCATGATCAAAACCAGCAGCAAAATCCCCATTTAGAGGTAATAAAAACGTCTTCAATGATGCCTTCATGTCCCAAACTACAAAGTTAGTGTAATGAAGCAGGTGCATCTCACTCTGACTCCACAGAAGACAGGTTTGCTGCAGAACAACTTGGCAGAAAACACATGCATGCTGCTCAAAGGAACCTCGCTATAGTGAGACCAAAACAGGAAATGTTAGATCCAGAAAGCCTCTTATTTATAACCGGCAGTAGGCGTGCAGTCATGCAGCCTGCAGCCCCACAACAAGAGCGTGACACCCGCACACATAAAGTGTTTACCCCGGTGTTTATCCACGGACATTACCTTGATCCAGTAGCCGCAGGGAGTGCTGAAAAGACCGATCCAGCGTGTCCTTCTCTGCCATAAGCTCCGGCAAGTACTTCTCGCTCTCCATCTTCTCTTCCGGGGATTTCTCTTTCTTTCTTAGTGGCTCCAATTAAACAAATGCAATTCAAGAAAATACAAAAAAAAAAAAAAATGTGAAGTTGGAGCACCGTGAAGTGTTGTGTGTGTGAGGAAGCAGAGTATCAGAGCATGTCTCACAGAAAGCGGTAAAGACGGAGAGGTTTATCCCGATGAAGAGTGGTCAGTCTGCGGATCCCCGGTACGCATTACCACCGGTGAGCTGTCTCCTCTGTGTGAGGCTTTCTCGGTTGTATCCGGTGCTGAAGACAGGGGGAGGCAGCTATTGGTCCACAAGGAAGGGGCGGGGCATTTTTTTTAAATGTGTATTTATTTTTTATTTTATTTTGTTTTACTTAATTTATTATTTCTTCTTTTGTATTAATTTTTAAACGTAATGTTTTATTTTATTTATTTTTATTTTATTTTATTTATTTTTATTTATTTATTTTATTCACAAAATATTTGTGTATATATATATATATATATATATAATAGTAAATATGTTTTAATTGTGTTTAATAATGTACTATTATTCATTTTCTCATATTGTTTTACTTGATTCTATTTTAATTGAATTCTCTATTGTATGTGTATTGGTTTTGAAAAAGAAGGGATCAACAACTATACCCTGAAAGTGGCGGGGCATTATTTATTTTAATCAAGCAACACGATATGTACATGTGTGGACAAACCAAATAATTAAATAAAAAGTAAAAAATAAAAGAAGGAAGGAAGGAAGGAAGGAAGGAAGGAAGGAAGGGAGGGAGGGAGTGAGGAAGGACAGGGCAACCATAGGAGCTGTCCATGGTGCTGATTCCTTTCATAACCATATTTTTAACTTTTTCTGAAGAAATTAAAATGGTGTAAGATGTTGAAATATTGAACATTGGTTATTTAAACCCTCACTCACTCAGTAAAAATGAAATCATACAGTAAAACTAACATATCATGTCACATCATATGATATCGTTAAGTTACCATGAACAAGAGCAGCTATTCACTCAAGCTATAGTCTCAGTCCCTGCATGTGATATCAGCCGACAGTAAAACCAACACACCATGTGATGTTAATCAAACGTACAGAAGCTCATCTCTCTGGATCTTTACAAAGATGCAAGACAAGACTCTGTAAATTGGATTTCGACAAAAAGCTGGAACATATTCCGGATGATTTGACACATTACTCACATCCCCAACACCTACTCACAGTTCTTGATATTCAATTCCTAATTACAGCTCAGATTTGAAGCTGAGACAGATTTGTTTTAAAACACAAAAAACTGTTGTATAGTTTATTGAATCAGAATGTCACATTGATCTACATATACTTTACAAATGAGACACACAAAAATGATAATAATAACAAGATTTTACAACAGTTTTCTGCCTAAAAAACCATTCATTTTTAACGTGAAACTGCCTTATTCTGTGTTTTGTATGGTTTTAATCACCATTTCTATTGGTTTTGAAGATGATGTGCTGTTGTATATATTTCAGCTATGGTTAAAAACGTCCTGAATAATGAGCAATGAAGCATTTTTTTGGAGAGAAGCTGCTTGCAATGAAGGAAATATGATCTCAAACCATTTCAACATGTCACTAAACACCGTATATTCGCTGTTGTTTAGATTGAACCATATGGGCAGAAAAGTATATATAATGTGTTTTATTGTGCAAATTGCCAATGAAATGTGCTAATTGCATTGCCAAAAGGCCCTTGACACGCAGTAAACATGTTTGTGTTTTTAAGAAGCCGTTTACCTTCTCATGATACAGTTACAGTAATATCTCAGGAGGCCACATAATTGCCTCTTTACTCATTACACATAATCAAGCCATTGATTCGGAGCGCATGACTCCTTCGGCTGCTGTTGCTCTTTAGGACAACCTGTCAATAGTCCTGAGGAAATCCATTCACCTTCTCATAGGTCAAGCACACATTTCTCACGGGCGTGTTTATGAATTCATTAAATAAGAAAGAAAAGAGCTGTTGGTTAGAGAACACAGACACAATAAATCAAAGACATACATTACATATCCCACCTTCACAGCTCACTTCAAATCATGGCTCACTGAGAACTATATATATAATATATATATTTTACACAAGTTTTCTTCAAATACCGGAATTAATTCCACGGCATACTGTATGCCTACATGACGGGCTAACTTTCTTAGGTTTAAAGTTAGCTCTTACCTTATAGCCTTACCACGATTTGTACTTAAACGCGCTAAAAGTCGGTGTTCGTCTGACTTAAGAGGATGACTCATTACAACAAATAACGATAGCTAACCCTGAATGATTTCGGCTAACTTCCCAACTCTGTAGCACAATATTGTTTGTTAAAACTTACCTTCTCATGTCCTTAGACTCTCGACAATGCTTTCTTTCCGCTTCGTTCCATGACCCATGACGTCGGTCTGACGTCTCTGTGGCAAACTGCGCATGTGTAGTCGCCGAAGCCTTCCGAGTTCTGTCGAGTTTCTCC